GTTGGCAGTGAAGTATCGAAAGTAATGAAGCCAGTATGTAATAGGGCCCTAGGGTGCACCCGCAGGGATACATAGGTATACGTATAAATTTTGCGACCTGATCATCTGAGTCATGTACCTGAGAACTCATGCAAACGACAGTATCCATAACTCTCTCATTGACCAACACGAATTCGCTCGAGTCAGTACATAGAAACACCGACGTGGGCCATTCATTGTGCATTTTAACTCGCCAGGATTGGAGCACCTAGTGGTCCATTTATGACCGTTCTGAACCCCGCTGCGGTGGGATCTGGTGTTACGAACATCCCCGCATCTGTACATATGGTCCAAGCACCGAAAGCGAATTCCAATTGTACAACAATACCACCAGAACAAGACACCACTCAGATAGAGATTATACCATAATAAAACAAGCTACCGAGGCGGACCATTAAATCTACTCTCGTCCACCCACTGCGTCTGCGGTCCACCGGAACCGTTGTACGGGACCTGCGGGGCGGCGTAGCTGCTCAATGCCGCTCGTCAGCTCCGAATCTGATACGAATGCAAAACGCGGTCCTCACCCAGCGCCGTTCCCCATGGGCGGAGGCGGCCCAGAACGGTCATAGCTCCCCAGTCGCTGGTGGCGCATGTCCGGGCCCGGCGCAACGATAACCGGGGGAGGATACCCAGTCCCGGCGTAGTCCGGTCGGCGGCCTCTGCAGCATCGCATTATCGCTAAGTCGTCGTTTCAGCGTCGCGCTTGCCCATTAAGCATGGTGAAGGAAGAACGCACCGCTCACGAAGACCCAGAGGAGCAGAATCGCGACGAGCCCGGCGACGATCGCGACCGGGATGGCGATCTGCAGGTTCTGAGTGAACCATGCCTGAACGAGACACACACGTTGGTCAGTAGTGCAGTTCTGAGAGGAAGTGGGCGGCGTGTTACCTTGGCGGTGCTCAAGAGCCCGTTTGACTGGCATTTGCCGGTCGCGCAAATTCCGCCGTATCCTGGACAACTAGACGTGAGCCAAAAACAAACAACTACGAGCAAGGAGAAAACGCACCGCACGGTGACCCGTCGACAAGGAGGGCGGTGAGGAGGATGCACTGATTTGACTGCGTCGGATCCTGGCACGAGACCTGGCAGGTCTGGGAGCTCGTATTCGGACACTCCTGTGTGAGGTTCATCGATGATCCGAGCTGCTGGCATTGTACTAATACCACAAACATAAGATTAAAATATTTTTGAAGAGCAAAGTAAATGTTAAAACGTACGGGCCACGGATGTGCACTGTCCACTTGCGCAGGCGAGGTTATTCGCCCCACAGCTCTGGCCTGGTCAACGAAGTGATGAGCGAGGCTGCCGAGAATAAAAGTAGCATTGGGATATGAACGCACCATTCGGTTTGACCACATCCGCCGGACACGCCGACGAAGTTCCCGGGCACGTCTCCACCACATCGCACTGCGCGTCCTTCGCCGGCCGGCACACCTGCGACGTCGGCGCGAACGCACACTGCGGCGTGCAGCAGGGACTACTATCCGGGTCGCACACCGCGCCGTTCGTGAACTTGCACGTCTTGGAGTCGCAGCACGGCGACGTGACGTCCTCGCCCGGGTCGCAGTCCTCGCCCTGCTCGACGATCCCGTTGCCGCACATCTGCAGCGAGATCGTCTCGACGGCGTTGCTGGGGTCTTGCAGACAACTCGTGTTGGTGCGCGATGTGCCGGTCATCAGCGAGCCTGGGTGGATGTTAACAGGGTGAAATTCAGCTATGAGGCGGGGACGAACAGATGTTTCCCAGACTGCACGGGGAGAATAATTTCTCTCCCTTCTGCGCGACGGGACTCATGATGAATTGGGCATTAGCATCGCAGGAGCTAGCGGATTGCGGACAGCAGGCGCTCGTCGAGTTGCACCCGTCAGCGCACTAAAATCTCACTTGTTCAATAAACCGCTCGCTCGGGGACGATTTTTTACTCACGTCATGCTACAATCAAATATCGTCAATCAGATAGTCCTGGATATCAAGGAACGAGGCGAACGTACGATGGCACCAAAGTTGTGGCCGATCTCATGTGCGACGACTTGCCATTCAGTCAGGCCCGCGGTGGAAACGGCCGTGCCCGACACAACGGAGGGGGCGGTGCCAGATGCGGACTGCGTGCATCTGAACGGTGGATCATAGGAATGCATACGCCACGGAGGAAATAGAGGATGGCCTACAATGTTGCGAGCCATGCGATACCGACTTCCGAGCCGGTAGGGCAACCGCTCATCAGGTGCCACAGCCCAACGCCGTCGGAGCCCTTGTCCCCACGCCATTGCGAGAACAGCGAGAGCCGAGTGTTGAGCGTGACGTTGCTGCAGTCGACGTTCCACGGGAAAGACGCGTTTACCGGGTTCGGGCACCTACACCACTGAGACACTGGTAAACCCAGAAAAAAGAAACTTACGTCTCGTCCTGAATCTGGAGCTCGACGATCCCGAGACTGACGTTGAACGTCGACTTGTACAGCGAGCTGGCGGAATTCCAATTTGTCAGGATCTGGGTCGTGGCGTTTGAATGAGAGCCGTATTTCTGGGTGTACTCGCAATCGGCCGCAACGCCCATGTAGAGCTGCAAGATTCAATGGGCACGCTGAACGGGACGGCGATGGTCAGGGAGCCTACCACTTTCTGGGTGCTCGGGCATCCGGCGTTTTGGCCGATGTTGTTGATGAAACTTGAAAGAGGTCAGCGCGAGGAACACTGCGAGGGATAAAGACCACGCACTTAGTACCCATCTGAGTGCCCACGACATCGTCTCTCTTGGAAAAGTTCCCGAGGAAGTTGATCGGGTTCTCGAACCACGGAGCTGCTGCTGGTTTCAGGAGGATGGGGTTCTGCGCGGGGTCTGTGTTGTAAGACATATCGTCGTGCCCGCAAGTCTGCGGCGCGGGCGCGGGGGTCGCGTGCTCGCCCGTGAGCGCAAAGTGCTCCTCCTCGGCGCTCATCATATCGGACTCTCGCCAGATGACCAACTCCGAGTCGACGATATCCAGTGGCTCCGAGGCCATAGCGTCCAAGGGGCGTTTGTGGCGCAGATAATTGTCCTTGGTCGATATGTGGTACGTGACGCCTTTGACGGTAAACGCTCCCTCAAAAACGGGTGCGATGTTCTGGCCGATGTCCCCTTGATGGTGAACCATGATGCGGGCCCAGCCAAGCTCGGCAGGGTGGGGAGTGGGCACAACGCCGGCCGCATCCTCGCGCATCCGTGTCGCGGAGTGATCGGCATGGATGACTTCGCCCCAGTACGCCTTGACCGACTCGCGCAGGAGCGGCTTCGTGCGAGAGATGTAGGTGTTCCCGTCGGGCCCGGTCGTGTAGTAGTTGATTCGCGCGGCGGGGTGGATGAGATGGTCATTCGGACGGAGATGGAGGTGGAACGTCTCGTCAAAGGCAGCAATCTTGAGCCGGAACGAGTCGTCGTATCGGAGAGTCGGCGAACGAGGCAGCAGGGGTGCCCGTTGGCTGAACGGCGAAGTGGTTGGCGGAGAGACCTGACGGCGGGGTAGAATCTCCAAAGCCAGGGTCGAGGGATTGGCCAGGCGCTTCAGCGGGCTCGGAGAAAGACTGTGAGCTGAAACTTTTTTCAGTACGGCGAAAGGGAAAGTTTCTTTGAGCTGACCGGCCGCTGGGTCTATCCATGCGAGGAAAAAGGTAACGGCCAGCGCCAAAAAGCTAAGAGGTAAGCAATGCATGAAGGAGAGAACCGCCTGCGCTTGTTACCCAATCAATCGTCGCTGTGTGGCCAAGTGCACTGGGCGGACTCACCCGCGGACAGAGGAAACCACAGCAAAGAAGGGAACGAAGAAAGGAGCGAAGCCTGGCGATTGGCGTACACAAGTATTACTTACAGCGCTCAAGATGATGCCGCACGGCCGCGGTTACCATGTAAACTCACAAATCACCATCATGCAAGTCGCGTCCCCATACAGTGGCCTCCGTCGGCACCTCCAAGCCACCTTGGTTTGCTTGGTTTACTGCGTCTCTCACTTTTCGCGACGCGACGCGCTCAGACAAGACGCTCAGATCACCATCTATCTGTTGAGGCTGTCATTCTCTCCTTCAAGCCCAGTCTGAGCTTCTGGTCATTTTTCAAGCATTTCACTAGGCCTCGGCACCTTATCCGCAGTCCACTCGGTTACGAGACCGACGAACGCAGATTTCTCAAATGTTTCCATGTAGCAATCGATCCAATTGTCCTGAAGCCCTGGACGAGACTTACTGAAAGAAGCCGACTCGGAGTTCACCGAAGACTCGCACTGCTTTACCGGATTCCTCTTGCTCGGAGTCGCAAATTTACGCAGAAGCGACCGACATCTGTTTGATGCCGCCGGGTGTCCTGACAAGCTTTTGCCCGCCGGAAATCTTCACATTGACTGTGTCATCCAGAGCCTCTGTTCGCCGTCCCGCAATCTCAGGGAATATTGCCACGGAGCAGTGGCGCAATCCTACAAGGGCAATGCATTATTCCGCCTCCAGAGGACAAAAGATGTTCGCAAATTTCGGCGCGCCGCCTGTTCTGTTGACTCCTTCATAACAACGATCGCGATTTCTTGCTTTACTCCTGGGCTTGAATCGGGGACGTCCGTCCAAATGCAAGCTGACTGGGGAGACCAAGTACTTGGATGTTTTCCAACAATAAGTGTTGGTTCGAAACGAGCAACTTCCAAAAGAAGATCTGAGCCATCCGCCTCACAAACCGACTTCTCCACCAGTGCCGCATTTACCGACAACTCAAATTTGGCACCTGCACTCCCACTGCATCTGGTTCGCGAGCCAGTCGTAGACCGGCTGGGCAGTATAAAAAACGAGTTTTGATGTAATCTCTGCAGCGCGCATCGTGACAGAGTAAAAACATACACCGAGCTCAGTACGTGAGACTAGCCAATTGTTAGTTGTCTCTGCTGACGGTCCTAACGGACCCGTACCACCAAAAAAAAAAAAAAAAACATACACCGAGATAAGGCCTGACCCTGACTTGAACAGGGAACATCCTTAAACAGGTCCCAAGATGTTTAACCTCAAATATCGAAGATGTGTTACCATTGCACCACCAGGCCGATATGCAGAGAAATGAAATCTCCATTCCTGGTCACTTGTTGCCTGTTGCAGTGGGACCGCTATTGCAACGTATCGTAGGCAGGCCCACCGCCGCTGTTGCTTTTGGCGAATGTTTACCATGAAACGGAAACGGAAACGCGCCGCGTCAGACTGTTCTGTCGACTGCTTTCACAACAGCTATTGTACTTGACGATTTCTCTACCCCTCTTGATTTTGTGACCCCGTGCCACGCTGACTTCTGAGATCAAGTCGAACAAGGTATATATCGACAAGCAAGATCTGAAAGCTTCAGAGCGGTCATAAAATGCGTATGTAGGTTCCCCCAATCCTGGCGATGGAGAGATGTACAGTAAAAAAACGCCCCGCGTCGACGTTTCTATGGACTGGGTCCGTGTCATATGTACATGAATCGTTATCATGAAAAAGATTACATAGAAGCGGGGCGCCGGGCATTTAAAACAAGTATAGTAATGTCCCAAGTCCGAAAAGAGTCTACGACCGCCGCGTTTTCCGTAACGGAATCAGTGGGACGGGAGGAGGCCCATTCTGCGCGGGGTACGGCGGCGGAGAGTCGCCAAGGTGTAATAGCACGTCGTTGGAGGTGGCTTCGGTGGTGCGGTAGTACCCCATGCTGGCGTGCGAGTCGTAAGTCGTTCCGCCCGCAAAAGTATTCGAGTGCCGGTGACTCGAGTCGCTGATCAGCGTCGTCCGCCAGTCGGGCGAGCCCGGCGTCGACGCGGTGGTATCCAGCAGCCCCGCGTACTGTTGGTTATACTGGTTGTACAATTGCTGTCCGCTGAACCGCTGCCGCGAGTTCCGCGAGTGCGTGGACTCGGATGCCTCTGAGGGGAAGGGCGTGACGTCGGTCTTGCTGTATTTGCGCTGGCGTGGGTGCGGTGACCGCCGCTGCCAGGCGGAGTGCATGAGGACCGCCGCGATAACGATCAAGGCGACGACGGCGACGGTCCCCAGCACCACGCCCGCGATGGCAGCCGGCGCCAGCTTGGGTGTCGAGGGGACGCGCGCAGCGATGCCCATGGTCGAGTCGCCCGACTGTGGGTACTGGAAGATCCTGGGGGTCGGTTAGTCTCGCCCGCTCGAATCGGCGGTAGAAATGAGCCGGGACCCACAGGTATAACGCGCCGATAAAGGGTGATCCGAGCAGGTACTCTGTCGAGCTTGCGTCTATCCATTCCTGGAGCACGCCTACGCAAACGCCGTCCGCTTGCTTAACGACGAGCGAGGTCTGATCCAGACTAGTCGACATATTCCCGAACGTGACTGTGAGGCGGAATTTGGAATCGCAGGGAAGTTTCCATGCGTGTGCAAACGCCGAGGTGGAGTGCTTCGACGCGCCGGGAATATCAGCGTCTGGAAGGAGCTGAATAAATTGAACACAGGGCGGCGTTGGTTGACATACATATTGCCCGCGCCGAGCTTTGCGGGAAAACAATGCTTGAGTAGGCGGGGTCGACGAACGTAAGCAGTTGTGTGCCGCTTTGCGAGATATTGAACGAGGAGGGGCCGCCAGACACAGACCACGCGTCCATCTCGACGAACCAGCTCGACATGTTCGATGGGTTCGATGCGTTCGCAGCCAGCATCGTCTTCCACGTAACATCGCCTTGGTAGGCAGTTGCGTCTGGTTGAAGCCAGTGCAGAACCCCGCCCCCGCCTGAGGTATTCGTGGGCGAGGGCGGATTCAGCGCCATTCCAAACACGAAGGCAGATTGTGCCGGGTTGCGTGTCAGCCAGTTGGCGGCGGGGGACCCCGCTCCGCTCGCCATACCGAGCATACCCGAGATCCCCGGGGGAAAGAACGAGGCCGCCTGGTCAGCAACGGCGACTGGAATCCGAGAAATGAAGTGCGCGTCATTTGAAAGAACGTGGCAACGCACTCGTTTGGTTGGGGTACGACCACGCCGACCCGTTACTCTGCAAAAGTCCGCAGTTTTCGCGCACCAATGTGCCACTAGCCGCGCCATTCAATGACGAGACATTTTGGGATTGTGGCAACTGCTGTACACTCGTGGACGACGACGGATTATATCTGCATACCGCATGTGAGCGAGTGTCAAATGTCAGTGAACTTCAACACACGATGGAACGCCTCCGCAAGAGCTGCAATTAGTACCCGCAACAGTCGAAATTCTGTAACTAAGTCAAGGTCACTTTGTAGCGCATGGAAACGAGACCAACGCGGTGGATGTGGTTAGTGCAAACGAGAACGATTGAGGGGAAGGATTTGAGGTCTACGCAGCGTTCAGGCATCCGGGTTGGTTTCAAACGAGTTTTATTACACACCATGTTCACCCGAACAGAGTAGACCTGATTCTCATCGAGGTTCACCGGAATCACAAGTGTCTGCGGAGGAGATAACGCGCGTTTGGCGATCCGAGCATCCGAGACAGCAAGCAGAGACAGCACGATAACCAGAGCCAGATCTAGAGGAAACGTTATGGACATGAAGGCGGGAAGCCGTAGTAGAGAGATTAAGGCTAAAGGCAAAGTGCACTTAAATTGCGGAGGGTGTCTTGATTGCGGTGAGCAGCACCCCGAGAAGGCTGTGCAGTGCCGCCACGGTATTTCCAAGTTGGCTTCGAATCATGAGACGCGCTAAACGGCGTTTGGTATTAGGGTCGCGGGTGGTTCGGGTACGCGCATAGCAACACCGCCAGCGCGTCGGGAGCCCGCACAGTGCTCGCGTCGATAATATGCGAACACACGAGGCAAAGGGGAGGCAAGACTAGCAGTCCCAGATTTCAAACTCAGTTAGAGCGCCCACTGATATCAAGAAGAAAGATGTGTGGGGGTTAATTTAGAATGCAGGGCGGGCCGAAGGCACGATCATCAACAACACTATCTTCGATCGGCGCAAATGGCCGACCTCCGGGGGGCAGGAAGAACACCGAGCATTTGATCGCCGGAATATGCGCCAAGACTCAAGCGAAGCGCGCAAAAAATCTTCCATTTTATCATGGACTAGAACTTTCAGTCTTGGGACTTCTTTCTAGAATCGCGTCGACTATCCCAAAGTCGAGTGCTTGTTGAGCTATGCGTAGAACGTGTCAGCTCTGAATGAAATAATCGGCGACTGGGAGGCAGTACCTGTCATAAAGTAATCTCGCTCCAGAGCCTCTCCTAAAAAGAAAAGGATGCGTGTATAGCAATTAGGTCCCAGGAAATTCGCGCCGCTAAACGTGCGCACCGAAGCGGGTCAGGGCAGTTTCCCTGGTCTCTCCGTCTTTGCCGCAGTGTTTTTGATAGATGCCAGTCAGTAGCTCTCGTATCCTCAGAATCTCCTTCGCGTGGATTGCGATATCAGATGCCTGGCCGGAAGCGCCACCCGAAGGCTCTGGGCCCCTGTTTAGGGTATATGAGATGAGGTGGAGAGGTTCACTCACGATGTATCATGATGCTTGCGTTTGGGAGGCAGTGGCGCTTGCCTTTTTCACCCGCTGACAAGAGCAGCGACCCCATGCTCGCCGCTTGACCAATACAATATGTATGAATGGGCGCTGAAACATACTTTTGGGGGGCGCTCAATTAGTATTAGGTCTTCCACTGCAGCCGGGGGAGCCGGGGCATTAGTTACGCACCTGCATCTATACAAGAAGTTAGTTCAATAACGAACGCGCATATTGCCACACCGACCGTGTCGTAGATTGCGAGCCCCGCGGTGACGCTGCCTCCCGGTGAATTGATGTAGAGATGTATTGGTTTGGACGTGTCCTCGGCTTCTAGGAAAAGCAATTGTGCAACAGTTAACGTGGAATCGGTGTCGCGGATCTAATTGAATGGTTTTGAAAGTGGGGGGTAACCAATTGAACAGAAAGGCTTACGGGCCCGTAGAGCATGATCACTCGCTCGCGGAGGAGACGCGAAAAAATGTCATAGGAGCGTTCACCCCTGCCCTGGCGTATTGTAAATGCCACGATGTGATAAGGCTGCCGTTTTCCGCACCGTCTGCTCGATGACTATAGGGACCAGATTGGCTTGGGGGTTCGGGTAGCCAGAGAGGGGATGAAAGGCGCGTCGTCCGCCGGGGGCTGCAGTACGGCGGAGGGTGGATGCAGCGACGCGCAACATGGCCGCGTAGAAAGAGAGGTAAGTCACGTTGTGTGACGTTGAACGCGCCCGCGTGACAAAACCTTCTTTCAAACCACGACGCGCTCGCGGCTGGCCATCTCACACCACCGGTCTCTTCTCCCCGCTGGTGCCTCCTCTCCACGATGTCTTCCTCACGCCTACGCTCCCACCGCTCGACAGACGCCCCGATGGACTTTGAGTACACGTCACGACCAAACACGAAACCTGTCTGGGCATCCTCTCGGTCGTTAGACGACGACCCCACGACCCCAAAAAAACGTGCGATATTATGCTCAGGTACGGAGGCACACATTGACTCTTGTCCCTAGGCTCTCATGCCGACCTTAACCCGCCGACGCCGCTCCACAACCCCGTCTTTGGGCAAAACCAGAACATACCGTTCCTCTTCCAGACGCCTCCACGGCAGATGGACACGGCGACGTACCCTTGGGCACCGCCGTCGAACTTTTCCCCGTTCAAGGCGTTTCCACAGCCATCACCTGCGGCGGAGCTGCGGGACGTCGACATGCGCGAGGCGAGCCCACCGAAGCCAGAGGCGTCGCCGGAGGGTGGCAGAAAGGTCGCAACGGGCGGTATGCGGCGCATCCTCAAGTCGCGCATGAAGTCGGCCCTTTCCATGTCCACGGTGCCGGAAGCGCGCGGAGGGGACGAGCGGGACCCATATTCGGACAGCGAGGACGAGGACGAAGGGCGGGGCCGGCTCAGTCGAACCAGCTCGACCTCGAACCACTACACGCTCAACATGCCCTCGCCGGCGGCCCCCCAATCCGATCTGCCCTATATTCTGCTTGGGTATTTATTTTTGTGCCTTGATGCTTAAAGGTGTAAGCCTGCTGACTGTCTTTACAGCTATCTGCAGTTCTTCTTCAATCTATCGCTGATCCTGCTA